AGGAGTAGGCGGAGGAGCAGTAGCAGCACCAGCAGGCGCATCATTGTAATCATTCTTAGTAGTGGTAGCAGCAGCCGTTGTACCAGTAGTAGTAGTAGTAGTAGTAGTAGTAGTAGTAGTAGTAAGAATAATAATAGTAGTAGTAATAGTAATAGTGGTAATAATAGTAGGAGGCTGAGCAGATTGCCATGGGGGGCCCAGGGAGAGGGGAAAAGGGAGAATTGGGAAGAACAAGGACAGAAAAAGAGAGGGGGGTTCAGGGAAAGCTGGGCCAGAGCTCAAGGAAACTGGAGGAAGAAGAGGGCAGTAGCAGTGGAGCAAGGAGTAGAGGGCAGTGGGATTGGAGGAAAGGGAGCAGGAGGGAGCCCAAGGAGAAGGTTTGGCAACGGGAAGGGCAAGGCTGACGGAGGATGGGGAAGAGGGCTGGAGGTCAGGGAGGAATGGCAAAGATGGCCATGGAAGGGCCAGGGTGAGGGAGGCTGGGCAACAAGAGGGCAAAAAACAGGAGAGGTGAGAGGTCGGGAGGAGTGGAGGAGAGGAGGACGAAGGACACAAAAGTGTGGACAGAGAAGGTGGCCAGGGCCAGGAAAGAAACCACAAAGTGCAAAAAACTTTCCTGGAAGATCCAGGAAAACTGATTGGAAGGGCTGGTGCTATTTCGTGCTTGTGTGTGTTTGTCTAACTGCTGTGGATAAGCCGATCCCCCAAAAAAACTGTTTGTTCTTCATTAAAAGTAGCCTGAGTTGCGGTCTTACTCCGCCTTCTTCGTCCTTTTGACTCTGCTGAAAGGGCTGATGGAGTCGTCGAAGATGTAGCGGAGGATCGCCCCTGGTACAGATCCGGGATAAACTTGGGGGCTCTATGAAAACTCATTTAGGGTTTTATGGGGAACATATGTATATATAAGCAGGGATCATGGTCCATAATCATTCAGAATCATTCCGAGGAATAATCGACATGAACACGCCAAGACTGTTGGCAAGGTGATGCTCTAGCCTGTTAACAGTTAACATCCCTTTCATAATGGAGAGATGGCAAAATCAGAACCCAGAACTGGGATAGATTCAGCGCCCCCACAGAACCTGTCTATGGCTTCATGGGGAGTATAGAAGGATTATGGTCCATAATGAATTTTAAAGTATTCCCACCAGAGAACCCCGAAATCTGAGCTTGAAGCCTCATAAGCCTGAGACCCTCCACCCTAGCGCAGGCCTGGCCAGCTGGGACATTGTGGAAGGCTGTCATAATACCTGTGCAGGCTTGAGTATGCCGCGCCATCTTTCAAGTTTGGAGACTCTTTGGTGCAAGAACTCATCAAGCTTTTCGCCTAGGCACTAAACGGGCTAGTTAGAGTATTAGACTTGAATTTGCAGCTGCGTTCAGGGAACCTTGGACACAGCGCACAATAGACTTCAAAGCACATGAGACTTCTTCCCAAACCCATGCCACTCATGTTGCGTTGGAAGGATTCCTGCATTCCTGCAAAATGCCAGCCAAAGCACTCCGGCGCCAGCTTTCGAACCGTGGGCAAGCTTGACCATGCGATGTTGGGGAAGTCGTGGTGCTCCTCGGTTCCCGGGCGGCGTTGAACGGGCGAAGGTAAGACCCTATCGAATTGATCAGCTCATTGCCTTTGCAGTTGATATGTGCAGGCTTCCAGAAAGTGTGTGCGCGTGTGAAAACACGAAAAACTGTTTTTGGGTTGCTGCTTTTGTGGATTTGGGCCCACGGCCCTGAGTCCCCGGTCACCAAAGCCTTAACCCCTCAGAGGCCTGGCCCCACCTTGGTCACCCCCAGCACACAGCAGCAGAGCAACATCAGGCAATGAACTCCTGCACGTTTCAACCTCTTTCTTTTCGCCGCTGTTCTGCACTTCCTCGATTTCCAAGACCCTGGGGCAAGACCCCTGACAAGGTCCTGCAGAGTGCCAGCAGCCTAGCGTGAACTGTTCTCTTGCTACATGGGGCTCGCAACCAGTCCTTGAAACCTTCGACACGACAATTTTTCGAAATATGAAATTTCTTCTGTAGTTTCAATCCGCTGCCGGTGCCGCAAAATCAACTGCGCTGCCGCGAACGTGCCTCCTGTCTGATGTGTCGCTTCCACTGGAAGTTCCAGCTCATCTTACCTCGGAGAGCCTGACCGTCCGGAGCTCTACGTCCGTAGTAAGGAATGCGGTTCTGAGCCTTTGGAATGGATCATGGCCCTACATCCTTGCAGGCTCAAAACCTGCAGGAACAAGTGGCGTGCCGCGCACAAGACGATTCGTAGGAACAGCCTGTTCTGTGCAACACCTCCAAAACCATCTGCAAGTGGCGTTGTGGTATCCCACGTTGTAGGCCAAGTAGTTCAATGGGCCGTAGTAAGAGTACGTCTCCTTGGCGGTGAGAAGACCTAGTAGCCCCCTAAAGGAACATGACTGGGCGTGGACAGGTGTTAGTTTCGTTTGAGGCAAGGGACAACCTCACCCTCCATGACGTAGTGTTCCGCGATAAAATGGCCGGCAGTGGGGTGGATAGACCTAGGTCCAACTGGTGGATGAGTTGGGATTGGACGCAAGCTGGCTCAAGATCAGGCTGTTTTGCAAACGGAAAAACAATGCTCATCAACAAGCAAGACACCCGGCAAAGAAGGTCGACAGTAGGAGATACAGCACCTTGGCAAATGAGCCGTTCTGGGTTCCACATGGGTCAAAGTGAATTTATAAACACTTCTCTCACCTTCAGCAATCCGCGGAATCTGTCAAAATCTCAGAGAGTATTCGCAAAGAGTCTGCACAGAGCTTGGGGGCAAATACCAGATCCTCCGAATAAAAACATGTACATCACTAAATGTCTTCCAGGTAGCGGCATTAACAATAAGAAGCAATCATAACCTGAGAATATCCGGCGGGGGATCCTCAAGTCCGTTGACAAAGAAATTCCCGAAGAAGTTCCAAGTAACCAAGGTTCCTCTGAACAAACTTAACGCATAGTGAAATAAAGAATGCCAACATTCCAAGGTGCTCCATGCCAGCCCATCTTGGCTACAGGCTTTGCAGATTTTGGGGGGTTTGCAGGTTGAGAACAAACAGTTTTGCACATCACAGACATCACAGTCGAAGCTCCTCTTCCTGTGGCAGTTTCCTGAATCGTGTTTTGCCCACTAGGGAACTTGGTCTCCGCACTTCCCCACCGCTCACGACAGCCCCGAACCAAAGTTGATGGCAAAACTTGGCCTTCTAAAGCAATCCTGCAGTCCAGTCACTGTGACAAGGATGAGGTAGTCAAAAGTCGCACACACCTGGGTGTAGCACGTGCAGGCTTTTGAAGACATCTGCAGACCCCTGCGTAATTACACGCCATCCATCAACTTGCTGGATGCATGTCCCTGTCATGCGCTTGCCAATCCTCGTGAGCTCTCACTGCACAATCCAAAAACCTCTTGACGATGCCGATGCGTGCTTTCGCGCAATGTAGACCTTCCCCAACTGTGAAGCCTTCAGTCTAATTGCAAAGGAGTGGCGACGAAGTTTCCGATCACCTAGCTGCAGCTGGATTCATAGGGCATACACAAAAAAAAGCAGACCATCTTTCCCTCAGGCTCTTCGGTAAACAAGCTTAAAGGCTTACATGAACCCTTGCATGCTACACTGGACGCCACGAGCGGCTGCAAGCACATAGACACGGATGCGCAATTCATTATTCAGGCCGAAACCTTTGCGCGGACTTGCACCCACCACAAAGCACAAGCACCAACACTTACGTCCACATGAACCCAGAATACTCCCCATAGAGCCCTACACAACAGCCCCTATATAATCCCTAACTGAACCCTATATAAACCTGCTTGTAAAGCCCAAGTCTCCCAGCCATCAATGGGCACCAGGTCAGGCTTGATGAAAATTGGACGGAGGGCATACGCAAAGATCTGCAGGAACATGAACACCGCCTGCTGTCTCACTCAGGGTTTGAGGGTTATGTAGGGTTTAAGTAAGCCATGGCTTTGCAGGTGCAGGGTTTCAGGTCAAGTTGGGCTGACGATGTATTGGAGTATTGAATATAGCAGAGGCAGCATGTTGTTCGCAGAGCCTTTGTCCGTAAATGGGCGGTTCACCGTTTGTCCGAGATTCTTCCACGGTGGTCGTTGCAGGAATTGCTGACTCGCAGCCAGCTCCCCACCGCTGGAGTCAGTTGTAGAGGGGCTCTCTTGTTTCTCAATTGTTGGAATTTGAGACTGGCTTTCATGCCGTGCGCTGTCTGAATATAAAGAAATCATGGTCCTGATGTTTAAAGATTATTCCCTTGAATACCCAGTCTATCACATGGCTGATATGGCCAGTGCAGAGCATGAACGGATTCCAGGGCCTTGCGCAGGGTGTGATCCACATAGTTCATCGACGACTTGGTGATGAGATAACCTGTTCAGTGAACAAGGCAGCAGCTCTGAAAATGCTCACTTAAGCACCCTCCTGCCTCTTACTTGTACATATGAAGGCTGAGACTTTGGCGTGCAGTACCCACCTTGCTGCTGAACGGTTCTCAATCTACTGCAGCAGTGTGCAAGTCCTTCCCTTCAGCACTTCAGAGCTGTTCCCAAGTAGGGTCTAAACCCAACAAATCCCCAATCCGCTAAGACCTAAAGCTCGCAGTTTAAACGCGGATTGTCACACCGACGCGATGCGAACCTCCACAGAGCAGCCTGCAAGAACCGCTTAGTTTTCAAGCATCCCAAATGATCCTAAGCCTTGGCTTTCAAATCCTGTGATCCAGCTTTCAGCCACAAACCACAGAGATTCTTAATGCTCTAACTACTTGAGGGCTGTTCGCCTTCCAAAGCTGTTGGAACGTCAGTATCGATGCCATGCACTCCCTGGTTGCGGTGGTGGGCCATGTGGTACCTGGCTTGTGGGCTTGGATCTTTGCTTGGGAAGGTTATACAGTTTCTCAAGGGAAGTCTCAAAAATGCGGGCCTGAGGTTTGAGCTGCAGCTTCGCATGAATGCAGAGCTCAAGCTTTGCTGCAAGAGGTCTGGGAATTGGGGGTGGACCATAAAGGGGCCCCACACTACCGATATGCGGCACTGCGATGTGATAGCTGGAAACTTGATGACCCAAGAATGCCCATGCTCACGAAGTCCTGCAAAACTGATCGCTAAGCCCTAAAACATCTCGCAATGCAGGAGTGCAGATGAGTCGAGCTAAGGCTTGTGGGTCTCCATCCCTTTTATGCTTGGAATCCTAAGTCTCACATCCCACACCCAATGCAAAAACAAGTGTAATTAGCCAGTTGACGGCTTGAAGGTGATGCAGTACGGAAAGACGATGGGCAGGTTCGCGACCATGCCTTCGATCGGAAGTCAGCATGTAGGGGGTCAGCGCATCCCTAAACCCTAAACCCTATAACATTCTAGAGAGGTCTTGTTGGGAAGCTTCAGACCTGATCCGATGCTGTCTGATCCATAGGCATCCCGTGCCTACAGTCTTCCTGAACCAATCAACCGACTAACAAGCTGCTCCCGGAACCTCCTTTCCGAAGGAGTCCAGGGCTTAGGGTGGGTGACATGTGCATATGATAACCACGGGAAGATTGAACCCAAGGCGCCGATGAGCTTGTTAGCCATCATCGACTTTGCGCCGAGCCCATGCGCCAACTCGTGTATGGCCAGGAAAAGCCTTCAGACAGTCACTGCGACAGGGTTAGGGGCCCTATAGAAATGGTAGTTCCTATGGGCTATATCAGATTGTAAATGATGATGGTCCAGAAAGACTATAAATTATTCCCCGGAATATCCCATGTGAAGAATCCGGTTGCTCAAGGAAAGGTTTCCGAGGCCCAGGTTCAGGGGGGTTCCAAAGCATGAAGGCTGAGGAGACCGTCACAGAACGGCCGGGATACAGGTTACTTCAGGATGTGGGCTGAGGGATTCCGGGATGTGTGGGGGCCATATTCATCGGTTATACGGGGTTCTATAAGGGTATCTAAAGGGTCATATAAGAGGTTCTAAGGAGGGTTATATAAGGGATATTTAGCGGGATATATATATATATAGGGTTCACATATGGTTATATAGGGGTGAAAGGATCGCGGCTACTCCATGCGACTGGCGCAGGATGCAGCATTTGGGGGATTGCATGTTGGAGGTCCCTGTCGCCTTGCAGAGTTTCATGCTGAGATGGGTCATATCGAACGAAATTAATCAGGATAGCAATCTACAGGATGATCCAGTTCTGAAGCAGGAATCTTCAATTATGGAATTTGCCTTGCAAGGGCCCCCTTGGCTTTGAAGCAGTCTTGATTGCTGTGTCCTTGCTGCCACCCAAGCTGCGAGTGATTGACCGTGGCACCGATCACGTAGACCGCAATCAGGAACCTAAGCGGACCGGAGGTTAGGTTGAGAGCGCCGAGGAGTGATCTGTTGGGGAGGTGCTTCCGTCCTGTGAGCCCTAGATTTCTACGTCCGAGTCAGAACTTCGGCTGCTTGCCGGTGGTTGGCATGACTTCTTACACCCCTTGTTGAACCAGCCGAGCTTGCACGCTTGAGCAAGTCTGCACGGCCTCACGCCATGCAAACCTTTGGCTCCAAGTCTCAGCCCGAACCCCTACCTGGAGATAGGTAAAATGATGGCCAAGAACCGAAAGCATTCTACATACTTTGCAACATGGTGGAACCATGGACTTCCTAGACTTCTGCAAGGCCGCGAGCAGGTGGACCAGCTGCGCGTGATGTACGCCATGAAGACCTGGGACCCGGACGTTCGACTGGGTATATGGGAGCATACGGGGGTACGTAACAGTATATTTTAGACGTGGACTATATGAGGATATGTAGGGGTTGATAGAGGCGATTGTGCGCGGAAATATAGGCGTTGATAGAGGTGTTCTGCCCGCACAGTTTGGAACAAGCTCCAGCCCTGCAGTTGCATGCCTCGGATTAGCAGGGAAGAAGGAATGGAGAAGAAAATGGGAACTACTATTTTTGTGGGATATCATCTTGGGAGTACTAAAATGATCCCTTCCTTCATTCCTTGCTTGCAAGAGGTAAGTCCCCCAAACCCGAAACCCTAAGCCCTAAATCCTAAACCCCACCCTAAGCCGTTGTAGCCACGTAGCTTGCAGCGCCACGGTAGCGACGACGATGTATTTGGTCTTCCACTCCGGGCCTGGGATAGCCGGGCCCCTACTTTTGAAGGGGCTATCCGGAAAATATGTCAATTTGGTCTTCCACTCCGGGCCTGGGATAGCCGGGCCCCTACTTTTGAAGGGGCTATTCGGGAAATATGTCAATATCTAAGAGTACACAGGGACATGCAAAACTTCTGCTTAAGATGGGTACTTGACACTTCTAAAACCCACACGCCGAATCTTGCAAGACCTGCACTCGGTTGGACACGTCGCAGCTAAATCAAAGCCATTACAACCTTAACATAACATATCGTCCAGCGGCCCATCAAAGCCTTGATCTCCTGGGATCACGCAGAGACATGGCAACCCAGAGCATGGATAGCGAGCGCTGAGGGATGATAGGTCCGGCTTTCGCGTGACGCCCGTTTTGTACGGTGCTCCTCTATGTCATAGACCCATCTCCTATGCCCAATAGGGAGCATCGTGAAGTTGGGAGTGCTATTGGTTCACCCACCCGAGGTTGTCCGGGCACCCGTCCCCCACCCCCTACCCCTCCACAGGCACTCTTGCTGTTGTACTGCAAGGTTACGTCGGAGATAATAGCTACAACTACCTCCAGCTGCACATGGCTCAAGACGCATAGTTCATGTTGCGGACATAGACGGCTTGCTAAGATTCTATTCTCAATCAATGTATTCTCCAGCATGCTTTGTTCCTGCTGCATGGAAGTGGGGAGATTTGACCGTAAGCAGATTGTCGGCAGTGGACGCAGCTACACCCCCGACGGTTCGAACAGTAGACTTAAAAGTTGTCAGCCACTAGCTGTTCAAATACAAAACGCCACGACCATGAAGCTACGAGTACAAAGCCTTGTGCTCCTGAAGTTGACTTGCTGGCAAGTTGCAGGGTGCTTCTTCAGGATCTCGGATCGTCGTGTGGCATGGGGCTCCAAGTTGTCTGCGTAGAAGAAGTCCCGGTCCTTATCAGGTTGGATGGATGCTGGGGCAAAACATACTTTAGCCGCTCCTGGCTTTTGCTGGAGTACCAAAATCGCCGCCTGCGGTCCCAAGGATCAAAGCTCAGGAGACGTCAAGGTTGAGGTTTGGACGAGTGGGCACTTTTGGGAAAGCCTTACAGAAAGTGTTTGATATGGCGTTATAAGAATTTTACAGGGATTAAGGATGTCAAGAACTGAGAGTCCTCACCCTACATATATATATATATAATCCCCATGCAACCCCCAGGTTCCACTGCATCATCCATTATCTCGTCCAATTCCATTTTGTGTTATTTGGGGGCTGACAGCAAGCCCAGTCAGCTTCAAGATCCTTGCTATGAACTTTGCCTAGCAGGCATTCATGATGGTCCTACTTACCTCTGCTTAGCAGGGGATGAACAATTGAAATGAAAATGGAAGCTAATGTATGAACGAGAATTAGATAAGGACTACAATAAATACGGATCCATGCCCACAGTCCTTGCTAACCAGAGGTAAGCCTATGACCTCAGTGCTGGTCGGAACGGCGGCTCAGGCCCTGACCCCCTTGAAGGGCACGCTCTCCCATTCTGGAGACTTGTTGGTTCCCATGGCAATTGGCAAGCCTACCGCTCTTTGTAGCCAAGCGCAAAAAGAGACAGCAAAGGGCAAGCAAAAATGTGATAATAATAACCCACGTAAGAGCTCTAAAACTGCACTGTTGCATGTACAATGTGGGCGCTGCAGTTCGAGCCAAGGTTTCGAGTCGGCGGAGCGGCGAACAAACTGCGAGAAGCCTACAGCCGCAGGTCAAATAAACTCTACAACCAGCTCTTTACCTCAAGGTGCTGCAAACTTTGACCTGCGTACGGGAGGTCAGGCTCAGATGTTCAAGATGCGATTGCACTGCAGGCTATTAGAATGCTCAGCTGGGGCACTGTCGACGAACAGGTAGACTTGGCTCCGCCGTATTCGTGGCGCATTCTCCCCGGCATACTGCGTATCGCCTGAAACTCGTATGGGTCGAAGCCGGACACAAAGCAACAGATACAGACCTCGCCATTCAAACAGCCCAACGGGAAGCGACTCATTTAGAAACGCATTCTGAAACCAAACAAGCCTGAAAGTGAGAGAAGCCCACAGCCAGAAGCTTCGGTGGCGAACTAGCATGAACCAAAAAAGCCCGGTCTCCCAGCACTGTCAGTCCATTCCTGGCGCACTCTTCACGGAACCTGCGTGCACTGGGTTGCGCACAAAATTTCTAGCAAATGGCAACTAAGACTGTTCCGAGCAAAAGAACCTGCCAAAACAATCTTGACTATAGAGCTCTTGAAAATAGGGCGTCTTAAGGCTGACCATGTGAGGTCTAAAGCCCAGGGACATCGCCACAGGCCCTTGGACGAAGCAGCTTGCATCCGTGACTTTGCCAAAACGCACGCTTGGCGCAGAGTGGTGGATGCACCAGTCCCGGCCGTCACAGCCTTCTCACACTGCTTGAAGGACATGATTAGGGTAGCTTTGGGGGCCCTAGAAAACAAAAAAATGTGGCTGCATAGGGGATCGTATCGAGATGAAACTACAAAGCAGACGAAATACAGCTTCAGTGCCTTTCTTGAGCTGGAGGCTCGTAGGTAACGGAAAAACCCAACTTGAAGCCTATGGTGGAGAATCATATGGAAAAATACATGGCAAATGAAAGGGAAAACTGGGAGTAGCACCCCTGCATGAGCACCATAAACCCCATATAACCCCTATAGCAATGAATATGGTTCCCAAGTTCCCTTAATCGGCCTTCCTTGAGCTTCTGAAGCGGCTTCTCACCACAGAGCAGCGCCCGGAGCCGGCGCCGTGGAGCAGCGCAGCCCAGACCCAGCGCGGCCTTGGTCTTGGCTTGACTGGGATAGACTGTGCGTCTTATGCCTTTATACAGAAGATACAATCTACAGGGCCATAGGGACTATGATGCATAATCAATAATACTTGAAAATTGTTCCCAGGGATGTCCCAAATCTCGCAGTCAAAACAAATCCATCACAACCTGGACATCACGGCCAGCTGCCCATCAAAGCCTGGAAATTATGGTCCATACCGATTAGAAAGTATTCCCAACAACACTCAAACCCTAAACTCTAAACCAACGGACCATTTGGGACTGCAAGACAACTTGCCGGCCTGGGCTGTCTTGGCCACAAGAAAGCAGCCGCCAAGCTCAGCCTCAGAGAATCACAAATCACAGCCCCCTGCTTCTATAAGACACTCTCTTCAGATCCATGTTATTATCCATGCTGTTTCCCATTTGATTTTCCATTTTTGGGGCAGCATCGCTACATCAACCCTATATAACCCCAACCTATACCCCATCATAATATAATAGTTTCCGCTTTCCCGGTATTACTATATTTCCGTCATATCAACCCTGAATAGGCATGAGAGCTTTGAACCCCGAAATGGCCTCCAAGAAATGCACAGGCACTGGCGAAGGAAGCGCATCGCCCAAACCAGAAGCCTTTTCAAACTGCTTAGGCTGGGATAGATTTAGGAGCCCTACAAACATTTAGTTCTTGCGGGTTATATAAGGATATATATATATATATAAGGATTCTGGCCCATGTTAATTGAAATAATAATTCCCAGGAATATCCAAATGCTTAGGGATGTGCTCACGTACACGGAATTAGGCGCAAATGAGGGAACTCATTTCCAACAGCGAGGAACCCATGCGAAGAGCCTTTCACACAATGCACCATCCAGTCTAGTCGTAGAAGTTTGGACCCTAAACCACAGACTGACTATTGACCATTTCAATACCCCGCAGTACCAGGCGTTTGTTGGAGGATGTCCTTCGAGCATGAGTGCACGCATTCCCCTTCTCCAGGAGCTGAAGGCTCATGGGAACTGGTGCAATCAAGAATAGGCCTCGTTTATGAAGCATCTTGGCTTTTGGAGGTGTGGCCTAGCCCAGTTTGAAAACAAGGGCCGTTTGAATCTACCTCTGCCCTCAGATTTGAATGTGTACTTGCCACTGCGTCATATGACGACGGTGATAAGAATAGTAATAATAACGATGATGATGGTGATGATGATGGCAATCTTGCTGCGATAAGACATGTTCGGCTCGACATGCATCACTGTGGGGATTAGCATCCAAGTGTGGAGTAAAAACAAATCCCAACCATGGGACACCGCTTAAATAAGATCAGCCAGCTCTTCTGATGACCTTCATTGGTTTGGTCGGACTATTCGGGGAAGTGCCTGCGATGAACAGTTCGCGTGCTTCCGTCACAGCTTTGCTTCACAATGACGTGGCCGTTCCGAAGCAAAATCAACCCTCCTCAGTTAAAGCCTGTGTGGAAGAGAGTTGAACTTCGTGAAGATGGTCCTGCCCAGAAAACCAGTGAGCGCAGGGACTTTAAGAAGTGTGTCGGCCTGCGGGAGTTAAAAGCATGATAACCTAAAAGAAGTTGGCGACATCCAGTAATCCTTTCCCCCTGCCGCCCGTCTTAAATATTCGGAAGGGTATTTGGCGTACGACCCGTACATAAGGGGGGACATAATAGAACCTTACTGCTACCTTATTGAAGTCGAATTAAAATTGAGGAAAAACCGATTAAACTTTTAAACCCAACTAACCTCGTAACTCAGGCGTTATAAAATCAATCAGCTGCAAAGTAAAAAGGCAACTGAAATCTCGTGCCGTAATCAATCAGACTAAAATCTACTTGAAATCCAGTTGAATCTAATCGAATTCTAACTAGAATCTGGTTAAATCCATTGAAATCCAATTGAATTCTCAGTAGGATCTAATTAAATGTGATTTCCAATCGCGACACAAGCAATCCAATTTGCATCCAAATGTTACGTAAACTCCTTTATGGGAACGATTCAAAATCTAGGAAGTGATGGAGATCCTTTAACCATAAGAGTTATGCTAGGGACCCCCCCTAATTCAGAGGATCCGCCCGTAATTAACTTTAGTCTTGGCCCTTTTTTAAGAATTGTCTTGGGGGCAGACTTCACAACCTGGAATTCTCGGAGCCCGTGTTTTGTATTAGGGCGGGTTGTTACTTAATATTACCGGGAGCGAAGTGCCGAAAAAAACACGTAAAGGGTTCAAAATGGGGTTGCAAGCCCCTTAATGGGGGCTGGCCTACTTGTAACCCCATTGATAACCTACTTACCAAAACTCCCGGGCCTTCATGCACATCCGGGCAGTGAGAATAAAGTATTTGCACGGTATCTTGAAGGATCTTGGACTGAGAAGGGATCTCCAGAACGTTATGCAATTTTCGAATCTGGCCAACTAGTTGGCCTGCAAAGCTTCTGTTCTTGAAGTGATGTCATTCAATGTGGCTTCCTGAATTACCTGTCGAATTGCCTGTGGGGAAGATACTTACTTGATCTGCATGATCATCTGTGGTTCCCCGCTTCCAGCAAATTCATAAGGCCCAAATCTTCATCCAACGGTTCAACGGAACTCAGAGAAGGCTGCGCTGAACAGACAGGTCGCCGAGTCAAGCTAGAAGCGAAAGACCAAAGAAGGAAAATGGTTGTGTTAGCTGAAATGAGGTATGGTTTCCAGGACGGCGTGGCAACAGCAAATCTCTTTTGGTTCTGACTCTCTTCTTCCCTTCTCTTTTCTTTCGCCCTTTCAACCGGGTGCAGGGCGTGCTTGAGATATCCAAGACGATACATGTTTCTTCCAGCGATGTCAACGGCTTCTTGCTGATGTGGCGTGCTGTGCACTGCAGGCGCATTCGTGCGGATCATGGCATCTGACAAAGAAATCCTAAAATCGGACCCCCCAAAACAAGACCTCCAAAGGCGGTGGAGAGCGCGCTGTCAGCAGATTTGCCAGAGTGCGCGCACCGCCGAAGATGCGTAGGCCGGGTTCCTGAAGGGATGTCATTGAGATCAAGAGGAGAATCGTTTGGGAGCCAACCTACTCAACATGCCCCGACGATTTTGAGAGCAATTCTTGCACACCTCGCTTCAGACACCAGTTGCCGGCCTTGAGGACCACCCCAACATGATCATCTTGGTACAGCACTGCCAGTGGTCCCTGGTATGGCGAGCGACGCGGGTAGTCCGGCAAGAAGACCTTTGCATTTGCTGTCCTGTGAGGACCTCATTAGGCTTGGGGTCAGAGCAGCCCGGCTTCAAGGCCACTAGTTAGTAGGGTTCAGACCCACAATTACTTCAGGCTGTAGACAGTGCATTGCTATAAGTGCGAATTTTGCCAAACCCTGGTCAACCTGAATCTGAATGAGATGATATTAGGATGCCGTCGCCCGTGGAACTAAGAAGACGTGTTCAAAGAGAAGATAAGTAGACAGCACGATAATCCGCGAGGAAGCGAAGAGCATGTTGCGCAAGTGCGAAGGAAAACATGTTTTTCCCTTTTATGCGATCGCTGTCCTCAACAGGAACGAAGACAAAGGGGCAATGGTTTGCATTGTCATAGGCTCGCTCCACCAGGCTTGCCGGAGCCGCAACTCCTTCGAATCCTGCACCCACACGCGGCCGCGCCCCATCGCGCGCCTGAGGCATGCTGCACTCAACAGAGCCTCTTGCTCCGCGTTAATCCGAAACAGCAAGCATCTGCATTGCTTGATCTGCTTTCAGAAATAGAATCCAAGCTGAGAACATGGAACGAGCTGAAATTGAATGAACTCACACGGAAGCAGATGAGCGCCTGCTCACGGACTCAGTTGGGAAGTGTGAAGGCCAGCGCTGCATCAAGAAGTCCACCAGCCGCCGAGGAGATTGAGCCGGATGGTCCTGGGATAGAGTTAGAGGCCCCATAAAAATGTCAGTTCATACGGCCTACATACTGTTACATCGGGATTTATTCTGGGCCAGAATAATAGTCAAAAATTATCCCGAGGAATAACCCAGGGTCGATCAGAAGGCACTCTCGAGGCTCTGCGCCTTGCCCCTTCCCTGCTCCTTTCATCCCTTTGCCTTTCCTTGCGGCAGGTGTTTCTGGTGCTGCCCTGGGGCTCGTGAGATCCGTTTTCAGGCGCTCCAGCACAAGCACAGCCGCTGGCCAGCCACCCACACTCACTTTGTAGCAGGCGTGCTGGTGGAAAAGCTGCTTCCTGGGATAGAGATTTAGGGGCCTTTTTCATGACTTTTTTTGGGTGTAAGGATTTGTCCATCATAACTCAAAATTATTCCCAGGAATACCCCAGCTTCAAGGTAGTCGAATCTGGCGCATGCTCTGCATGAACATCAACAGGGACACCGGCATCCTCCTTCTCCTCCTCCACTTCTTCTTCCTCATCCTCATCCTTCTTAGATGCCCCGCCTGCTATGCGGGGGTGGAGCATCAATGTCTTGAAGAACTGGAATTAGGTCCTAAAGTTTGTTTTGAAAAAATCGAACCTGTCCACTCCTCCATCTCTGCAGAAAAGGAATAGCTCTCCTCGGTCCCGAGCAATTGCATCATCTGCCTGCAGGGGGTCAGCCATGTATAGGACAATCTGAATCTTCTTCCCCATGACTGGGCTAGGTTTGAGGGCCCTGGCAATGTAAGGATTATTGGACGGGTAACAAAAGCAAAAATTAGGTTCAAGCCCACCCCTGACCCTATATATCCCTATAGACCCACAGGTTCCGGGTAATTTTCCATGGTCGTCTCCACTTTTCCGTTCATTAATAATCTGGACAATATCTCCATAAGGCCCTTACATGCCCCTATATCCCTCTACAGCCATTCGTCGCCTTGCGTGGGCGCGTGTCATCAGCAAGGCCGCGCGGCCTTTGGGTCGCAGGACTCGTGCGATTTCCGAGGCAAAGGCCGGCAAGAGCCCGTTCACCCAAACTAGCCGGTTACGATTCCCGAAGGGAACCTCAGTTTGGATGTTGAAAATAAACATAACAAGAAAAACAATAATAGTAGTAATAGCAATAATAATAGTGATCAGAATACTAGTAATAGTACTACAAATCGGAACAATAGTCATACTGATAATATATCATATCAAGCGTCAAATTTGGCCCAGACATGCCCTGACTAAAAGATCCATCCACCCTTGACTTGGGCAACTGGATGATCTTAAGCTCTTACTCTTGAATTCCAGGCCCCAACAGATGGTAGTTTCCCCAGATAGTGGGCCCCCAATATAGACCCCAAGGGACCCACCAAAGGCAACCCTAATTTTTGCAAACCCAATTCCCCATAAAAAAACTACATAGACCCGGTCTCCATGGCATGTTCCGCGTTCTTTTCCATGTAGTTGTCCATTATTTGGGGGAAAACCCAATAAACGGCCTAGCGTACTAACCCCTTTAAAGCCAGCCCTAATTTTTGGCAACGCGCAGAATCAAAACCGGTGAAAATGAGCCGATGCGCGTCGGTGACGACAAAATCCACGGAAGCAGACTCCTGATATGATCAGCCCCAAAACTACGGCAGGTGAGGGGGCACTATTCAAGCTTTAGGGTTGGGTAGGTTTGGGGAGGGTTTTCTGGTAGGGTTGGGTGGATTTGGGGGCCCTACTAAATGGTCCAGGGTTTTGGCTTTAGGGCGGGGTAGTTTGTGGACCCTAAAGAAACGATTGTTTATGGCTTTAGAAAAGATGTTTCGGGATTAAGGGTGCTGAAAACCAAAAACAATTGTCAAACCCACCCATGAAATGCCTCTGGAAGTATACTTGCTCGCGTGGCACGTGGGACGAGGGCAAGGGATACTTCGTGACCAATCCAAACCCAGCATCGATATTTTTGTAGTCCGTTACCCTGGCAGCCTACCCCACACAGATCAGTCATCCTCCCATCTCCTGCGGCAGGGCCCGCGCATCATCCTGCGCAACCTCCACATCAGAACCCGGTGCCAGGTGCGGCGCTGCAGCGGCGGCGTTCAGGCGTGCAGCCTGGTCACGAAAGCATTTTTCAGAAAGCAACTCGAGACATGCAAGCGTATCCATGCATATCTGCAAGCACTGGATGCAAGATCACAAGCAGCGACCAAAACAAGCCCCAACGACAAGACCTCCGTCCTAGCAGAACCAGCAATCAAGCATCCCTGAACTCTGCCAGCAAACCCTTCAACCTAGACTCTAGACCCTCAACACAGCTCGTGTCCGTTTGAAAAGCCACGCCTGCGTGGCATCCCAGCTGATGTCCGATGTCCGAGCGCGGACACCGGGAATCCTCACCGCCGCCTGGCACATCTAGGCTTCTACAAACAGGCTCGCTGAGGCCACGAACGCTACCGACCGTATTCCAAGCCCCGAATGTTGACAATGAATTGTCACGTCCCTTGCATATCCTACGTCTCAGTAACAACAAGCTTCTCCATGCTGACCGCTCCAGCACGAGTTCTGACATGCACAACCTCAAACCCTACAAAACATGTGCGTCAGAACCGACGACGTCCAGTGAGCAGACTCCTGACGACATGGGCTCTCCTTTTCCGGTGGCGGGCGACAGCTGAGGCGGCTCCTTGCACGGCTCGGCTTCCTGTACACTGCCTCAAATCTCTGGACCAGGGCCTCCAACAAAACCGCCTCGTCAGACATGACCCTGCTCTCGGAACAGCAGAACTGGCACACAAACATAGGGAGGACCTCCCTGAGTCCAGTGCAACGAATTGAAAGCACAACTGCTGAAAATCTGACACGCACGTGTCATTGGTCGTCGCTGCAACATCCAAGACTCTCGCAACTACCAGGATGGGCAGCAGGACTCGCACTCTGACGCAATGCATCTGAAATGCTGATTTAAGTTTTGCTGTACAACCCTACAGTGTCCCTACAGCGCTGCAGGATAGCTTTGATATGCTTTGATGAAAGCCATTGTCTGCAATTTAGGTAAGTCCAGGCCTTGGAGCTTCTGTGTATTCGGGGTTTAGATTTCCATTCTAAATGCAAGGGCTCAATTTCAAGGTCGTGGGCCCATCCCAGCAGGGCAATGTGACCTCCTCTCTCTGCCGCAGGAAGCATTCAAATACCAGGTCTGTAAAGTGTTTAACGTGCAAAGTGTTCTGTCCACCTCACAATTGCCATGCTGTGTCCAGGTTCAAACTCAACTCCCTGTCTCAGCAACCAGAAATCATTGATTCTTGATTACAGTAAGTTTGGGGGCCCTCAATGGTTTTGAAGTTTGATGCCGGTATAGGGCTTCTGTAAGGACCAAGAGATAAAAAAAAAAAAAAAAAAAA